ATAAGAACTTTTAAGACCTAGATCTCAGAAATTTTCAAATATAAGATACAATACTGATAATTATAATCACCATGCTGTACATTATGTCCCCAGAACTTAATTTTGCTTATAACTAGAAGTTTCTACCTTTAGATCACCTTCACCCATTTCCCACCCCCACTCCCCACTTCTGGCAACCACCAGTCTCTTCTCTGTTTCTATGAGTTTGTTTGTAGATTCCACCTATAAGTGAGGTCATACACACTTTGTATTTCTCTGTCTGACTTATTTCACGTAGCATAATAAAACCCTCAGTATTCATCCATGTTGTTGGAAATGGCAGAATTTCCTGCTTTTTTATGGATGAATAATGTTCCATTGTGTATGTGTGTATACGTATACACACACACCATGTGTTTTATTCATCTGTTTATCTGTTGGACAAACTTAAGTTGTTTCTATGTCTTGGCTATTGTAAATAATGGAATGACAATGAGGATGCAGACATCTGAGATTGTGATTCCCTTTCTTTTGGATATATACTCAAGTGGAATTGTTGGATCATATGCTTGTTGTATTTTTAACTTTTGGGGAACCTCCATACTGTTTTTTATAGTGGTTGCACCAATTTATATCCCCTCCAACAGTGGCCAGATGTTCCCTTTCTTTTCTGTACATCCTTACCAACACTTGGTTATCTTTTGTCTTTTTGATGATCGCCTTCCTAACAGGTGTGAAGTGATACTTCATTGTGGTTCTGATTTACATTTCCTTGATGACTGGTGATGTTGAGACCCTTTTCATGTACCTGTTGGACATTTGTATGTCTTCTTTGGAAATGTCTATTCAGATTCTTTGGCCATTTTAAATTGGATTATTTGTTTGCTCGTTTTCACTATTGAGTTCCTTATATATTTTGGATATAAAGCCCTTATTGGATATTAGGATTTCTTATTATGGAATAATAATCAAATGTTTGAATCACTTACTATGTTATGAATTAGATGCGTGCTTTGAAAATATTTTCTCCCAATCTGTAGGTTGCCTTTTCATTTTGTTGATCACTTCTTTTGCTGTGAAGAAGCTTTTTAGTTGATGTAGTCCCACTTGTTTATTTTTGATTTTGTTGCTGTGCTTTAAGGTGTCACATCTGAAAAATCATTGCTAAGACCCATGTCAAGGAAGTTTCTTCGTGTTTTCTTCTAAAACTTTTATGGGTTTTGGTCTTACATATAAATCTTTAATCCATTTCAAATTAATTCTTGCGAGTGGTATAAGACAGTGGTCTAGTTTCATTGTTTTTGCAAGAGAACATCCAGTTTTCCTGGCAACATTTATTGAATAGACTAACCTTTTCTCCATTGAATATTCTTGTCTCCTTTGTCAAATATTAGTTGAGTGTATATGCATAGGCTTATTTCTGGGCTCTTAATTCTCTTCCATTTGTCTGTTTGTCTGTTTTTATGTCAGTACCATAATGTCTTGATCACTGTAGCTTTGTAATATTGTGTGAAATCAGGAAATGTGATGCTTCCTAGCTGTGTTCTTTCTCAGGACTGTTTTAGCTATTATTAAGAGTCTTTTGTAGTTCCAGACAAATTGTAAGATTATTTTCTCTATTTCTGTAAAAAATGCCATTGAAATCTTGATAGGGATTGTATTGAGTCTATAGACATCTTTGAGCAGTATGGACATTTTAACAGTATTAAATCTGCCAATCCATGAGCATGGACTATTTCTCCCAATTATTTGTATCTTCTTCAGTTTCTTTCATCATTGTCTTATTATTTTCAGTGTACAGGTTTTTTACCTCCTTGGTTAAATTTGTTCCTATATATTTTATCGTTTTTGGTGTTACTGTAAATGAGATTATTTTCTTTATTTCTTTTTCAGATACATTGTTAGTGTAGGTAGAGAAATGCTGCTGTTTTTTTGTATGTTGATTTGGTATCCTCTAACTTTACTAACTTCATTGATTAGATCTAACAGGTTTTTGGTGGAGTTTTTAGGATTTTTTATGGATAAGACCATGTCATCAACAGGGGCACCTGGGTGGCTCAATCTGTTAAGCATCTGCCTTGGGCTCAGGTCATGACCCAGAGTCCTGGGATTGAGCCCTGAGTCAGGCTCCCTGCTCATCAGGGAGCCTGCTTCTCCCTCTCCTCCACTGCTTGTGCTCACTCTCTCTCTCTGTCTCTCGCTGTCTCTCTCTCTCAAATAAATAAAATCTTAAAAAAAAATCATGTCATCTGCAAACATAATTTTACTTCTCTGATTAAGATGCCTTTTATTTATTTTTCTTGTCTAATTACCCTGGCTAGGACTTACATGACTGTGTTGAATAGGAATGGGAAGAGTGGTTGCCTTTGTTTTTGACCTTGGAGGAAAAGCTTTGACCCTTTCACCACTGAGTATGATGTAAACTGTGGGTTTGTCATGTATGGTCTTTATTGTCTTGTAGTACAGTATTCTATACCCAGTTTGTTGAACCTTCTTATTATGAATGGATGTTGAATTTTGTCAGATAGTTTTTCTGTATCTATTGAGATGAACATACGATTTTTATCCTCAATTCTATTAATGTGTTGTATCACATTTCTTCATTTGTCTGTGTTGAACCATCCTTGTTTCTGAGGGATGAATTCCACTTGATCGTGGTATGTGATTCTTTTAGTATGCTGTTGAATTTGGTATGCTTGTATTCTGTTGAGATTTTTTCTTCTGTATTCATGAAGGATATTCACTTGTAGTTTTCTTTTTTTTTTTTTTTAAAGATTTATTTATTTGACAGAGAGAGACACAGCGAGAGAGGGAACACAAGCAGGGGGAGTGGGAGAGGGAGAAGTAGGCTCCTGGCCGAGCAGGGAGCCCGATGCGGGGCTCGATCCCAGGACCCCGGGATCATGACCTGAGCCGAAGGCAGACGCTTAATGACTGAGCCACCCAGGCGCCCCTCACTTGTAGTTTTCTTGTCTTAAAATGTCCTTATCCGGCTCCGATATCAGGATAATAACAACCTCATAGAATGAGTTTGAGAGTGTTCCCTCCTCTTCTGCTTTTTGGAAGAGTTTGAAAAGATTGGTATTCATTCTTTTTTAAATGTTTGACAAAATTCATCAGTGAAACTATCTAGTCCTGTGCTTTTCTTTGGTGGGATATGATTCAATCTCTTTACTCATTATTAATCTATTCAGATTTTCTATTTCTTCATGACTTAATCTTTGTAGGTTGTATGTTTCTAGGAATTGGTGCATTTCTTCTAGATTGTCCATTTCTTCTAGATTTCTTCAGATTGTCTGCTATGAACAACCATATAGCATATATATATATATATATATATATAATGTCTCATTGTATTTCTGTGGTATCAGGTGATTATCAGACATTTTTGAAGTAGATTCTTCATCTGTAAGATGGGGATAGTAACACTGAACTCTAGAATGGTGAATGAGATAATGTGTATAAAACATCCAGGAAAGTGTCTGATGCTCAGTCAAGACTAAACAAAAGTGAGTTACTCGCCCAGGGAGAGCCAGCAACAGTTTTTTCTTTTCCCTTCTTATGGAACAGATGGAAATTGAAAAGAGAAGACCTATAACAACTGGGAGACTAGAATTTGTGCTCATAAGAGAGAGGACACAATCTGTGTTTTATTTAAAAAAAAAAAAAAGTAAATGGCTTAGGAAGAAAAGAATGGTAGTTTTTTTAAGATTATGTGGTTGGATAAACAGTAAAAATCATTTCTAAATATATGTGTTACTTAAGAGTGCCTTGCAAAAATTATCAGAAATGAAGCATTGCAGGCCACATGGGTGCCTCAGTCTGTTAAGCGTCTGCCTTCAGCTCTGGTCATTATCTAGGGGTCCTGGGATTGAGCTCCATATTGGGCTCCCTGCTCAGCGGGATGTCTGCTTCTCCCTCTGCCTATCCTCTTGCTCATTCTCTCTCTCTCTCTCTCTCTCTCTCGTCCTCTCTTTCTCTCAAATGAATAAATAAAATCTTGTAAAAAAAAAAGAAATTAAGCATTGCATATTTGGCTGAGTACAGTGATTCACATGTATCTCATAGTGAAATATTAACAAAATTACACATTGGTTAGGTTCAATTATTAAAAGTTCATTTTTTTCTCATTTTGAAATTTTAAAGCATTTGTATTATGATGGTGTTTTTCTGTTCATTTTAGCAGTTGAATCAATGAAGAGTTATTTTCTTGTTTTGTTCAGTGTTGTTGAGCCTTTTTGGTGTAGGACTGTTCTATTATGTTGTAACTATTTCTTTTAGAATAACAAAATTTATTTAAATTATATTTAAAAATTATGAGAGTAGAACCAGTGTTTTAGTTTTTCAAAGATAACTCTTTATCATGTCTACAGACTATTGGGAAATCTATTTTTTTATTTTTCAAAACTAATGTCATTCTCCTTGTTTACTTTCTCTAATATAATCCTAGGGAGTATTCAGTGGACTTGTTTTAATATATTTTTTCTGACTTCAGGAGTGAAAAATGTTATCTGAAAATTTCTAAGGGTGTATTTTTTTATGAGAATGCTATGTTGCCTATTTATTCTTATATCATTAGTTAAAAGTTAAATGAATATTTTTTATTATTTCTAAATAATACAGTATACATAAGCAATACTAAATTTCTTTTACAATGACCAAGCAATGTCACAGGTTTAAAAAAAATGTGGATCTTTTATGTTTCTTTTGATCACTTAATCATTGTAAGCATTTATAAACTTTGTTCCTCACTGATATGTTCATTTGAAGATAATACTGTGTGATTCGTGCATTTTTGAATAGTTGAAACTTAAAAAAATTGCAAATTGTAAATTTCTGTGCCTTGTGGAAATAAAATAAGTATGAAGTATGATAGATATTGGTTTTTTGGTATTTTTCATATAAAGTGGCACATGTTACTAAAATAACATCTTGGTGTATGTTTTAGGTCTTTTTCCATGTTAAGTGTGTACTATCTTTTTTAAAAACTTGAGCCTCATTTATTGCTATCATTTGAACAGGTGTCTCAATGCTTGTACCTACTGCAAAACTAAACACGCCAGAGGAAATTTGGCCAGTTACCCAATTGATGAACTGGTAGAAAGAGCCAGACAGTCTTTTCAAGGTAAGAGTTTCTAGAATTATGTGCGATTTTAGCCTTCTTAATAAATTATAATAGTCTTCTAAATAACCCTTCACTTTAAATACATGCTTCTTTAGCTTTCTGAAGAGTTCATAAATATTTTAGTCTATATGGCAGAAATGTTACCAGATCACTCAGCCAGGTTCTAGTATTCACATTACTCTTCTTTTACCACTCTTCCATTTTCTTATGATGAATTTTGAACTTTATCACCCACTTTCCCTTCACAGAAAAGACAAAAATAAAAAGTAAAAATGAAATCCATGACTGTCTGATGTGTGTTAAGACTTTTGTGGACTGAGAGAAATACTTTTCAAGATTTCCGACTCTTTCTTTGGTACTTTTTGGATGTTTGGAATGTAGAGTGAATAAGTGTTTCCAGGAGTCTTGCAAAAGGTAGATTTTACTATCAGTCAATGAAGATAACCCTCTTTACCTGCAGAACTTTGGACCAGCAAAGAGTGGTACCAGTAGAGAGTCCTAATGAGGATAATTCTTTGTGTGGGTGACCAGCTACTTCCGAATCATCACTTGCTGGAAAATGTGATTGTTTAGGTATCTCTCAGCATATAATAAGACTTACCTTCAACATGAGTCACAGTTGTGTTGACACATAACTGCTTAAACCATAAACTTCCTCTTTTGTCTTTGTTTATAGTATGTGTGTATAATGCTGGTGTGTCTTTACACCCAATATGATATAATCTATTGTCTCGTGATCTTGTGGGTTAATAGTTACTGGCAATGTACTTTTCCTTTTAGCAAGTAAGTTGGAGTGCTGCTTTCAGTACGTCACACCCTCGAAGTGAAAGCATGAGTTCCGAACGCGTTTCTTTATTTAATCTATGTAGAGCTTTTATCAACATGAATTTGGAATGCTCTTTATAATAGAGAGAAAAGTACCCTCGATTGATTTATTAACACCTCCCAACAATTTTTTTCTATTTTTACATTCTTAGTTCAGTCCCTTCCTTCATTCACATTCAACTTATATTGAACAAGAAATAAAAGGCAACTCATTGACTCCTGCCAGTGTTCTGTTTTAGAGCCAGATAATTATCTAATCTGAAAAACAGTCTGAGTGATTGTCTTTTGTACAACATGACTACGTTAAGGTGTGTTCAGAAAGGGCATAAATTTGCACAGAAACCTAATCTATTTGAAAAATGATGCCTTTGCTGACATTCTAATTGGTGTTTATTTTTCCATATATTTGTCAGAAAATGGGGATATTAAAACTCTATGAGCTATCCACCAAACACTGCAAATTGGTAGGAGTATGAATTAGTTCTTTCTTTCTTTTTTTTTTTTTTTTTTAAAGATTTTCTTTATTTATTTGAGAGAGAGAGAATGAGAGAGAGAGAACACATGAGAGGGGATAGGGTCAGAGGACGAAGCAGACTCCCTGCCGAGCAGGGAGCCCGATGCGGGACTCGATCCCAGGACTCCAGGATCATGACCTGAGCCGAAGGTAGTCGCTTAACCAACTGAGCCACCCAGGCGCCCCGAATTAGTTCTTTCGAAGTACTTTTCCAACATTATGCATTTCTATCCGCAGCTAAATATAACTCTTAAATAAATTTTCTCACTTTACTCTGAAAATTTATTTTAAAGATCTAAAACTGATAAATCACCATCTAGGACGTGAATGTATTCTCTTGGCTCCCTTATATCTATCTTCACCTATAACCTATCCTAACATTTTGATGTGATTGCTTCATGACTTAGTATGGACACGTTGACTGATTGATCTTTATTTAAATTCAATTAATTAATATATAGTGTATTATTAGTTCCAGAAGTAGAGGTCAGTGATTCATCAGTCTTATATAACACCCAGTGCTCATTACATCACATGTGCTCCTTAATTGGACACATTTATGTATTACATTTGACTTGAGGTAAAAACCAGAAAGGAATAATCATAGTTTTTATAAACCAATCATAGAATTTTTCTGAAGATATCCAACGTAGTTCTCTGATTTATCTTACTTATCTTTGGAAACGCCCTCTGAGCAATGGAAGTACAGGGTGTGACTTCGGTCAGACTTTATTGTCATTTAGCATCATCATAGCCTCGTGGGTTGGGCCAGTTAAGGTGAATGTTACAAAGAATATATCAGAGGTTAGCAGTGATGTAGTGTTTATTCACAGAGGAAGCATTCGAAGAGATTTATTTAGTATTGCTTCCATCATCATGTGTGTGTGTTTGGGTATGCGTGTGTTGGTGTATTGCCTTTTTATTCCCAGCCAGGGAATGCTGGCCACGTAACATCCTTCCGGTGTCTTGTTTATCTGTATATTAAAGCTGAAACTGGGCGCCTGGGTGGCTCAGGTCATGATCCTGGAGTCCCGGGATCGAGTCCCGCATCGGGCTCCCCGCTCAGCAGGGAGTCTGCTTCTCCCTCTGACCCTCCCCCTTCTCATGCGCTCTCTCTCTCTCTCTCTCTCTCTCTCATTCTCTCTCTCAAATAAATAAATAAAATCTTTAAAAAATAAAAATAAAAAAATAAAATAAAAATCTTAAAAAAAAAAAGCTGAAACTGAATGCTACTTTTGGGACTGGTGAGCTCATTTGATTGATGTATGATAGTGTTAACTAAAATATTGAGGTCATAACTTCCTAGGCAAGCCAGAGTGGTTAGGAAAACTTCAAGTTGTTAGGTATTAGATGCTCTTTGCCATAGGAGAGTTTGAATTTGAAACCGTGTTCTGCTGCTGACCAGCCACTGTGGTCTGAAGAAGGTATGTGGCCCCCTCCAGCCCGTGGTTTTCTCATTACTGTGACATTAAGTATTGTTTGTTGTGAGAATTTGAGATAACTTACAGGAAGTAATTGGCTGTGTTCTTCTTATGAAGAAGACATGTTACTTAAACTGAAGGAATTTAAAGTGAATCCAAGGAGTCTAATTTTGAGTGAGAATATTGAATCATCTGTAACAGACATTAATGACTAGAGTCAAATGACAGATTTTCTTTTGCTGCTAAAACATGTTTTAGGAAAAATGCCTCTATAGAAAGAAACTATTTAGTGTGACTGTTACCTTTCATTCTCTTAATTTGAGAAAAGCAAATTCATGCTGAGAATGGCCTTATACCCTTTTTTCCACTATAGGAAGTACCTGTCGATAGCTCACATTTTAAAGGCCTTAAGTTAATTATCTTTTTTTCTGCAAAGGACATTGGGATATTACTGATCTTACAGACTTCCTATATGTGAGCTTTAAAATGGTGAAGAATAATTATTGAGGTAAATATAATAGAAGAAATTCTCTCTCATCTCTGTGACTTTTGCATATTTGTTCTTTAATAATTCAGGTGTTAGGAATATTCTTTGAGCTAGAACCCCTTAAATTCTGCATGACACCATTATTATTAAATGGCCCTATAATTAATAATAAACAATATGGTTCTTTGAAAGGATACTTTAAGATGAAAACCCTAACTATACTGCCAATAAATTTTAGTATTATGAAAGCCACTCTGTCAGTGGAAGTTAAATTTCCCATCCTGAAAAGTACATTTCCTTTCTTTTTCTTAAAGTTTTTGATGACTGTGTGTCAGAAATACCAAATGACTTTTAAAAACTCTGAACCAGTTGTAGAATAGGGATAGAACCCAGATTGCCTGTCCTGTGGTACAATAAGAGCACAATTTCTTTCTGAATAGCTTATTTATGAAACATTTTATATTCATAAAAATTTATTTCTTAGTAGTCTAATGAATGAAGAGACTAAGGGCTGACCCAAAGACAAGGGAGCATTCAGAAGAGATTCTGAAATAATCATGAAATCATTCTGAATGTACAGTGGATTCCCAAAGCACCAAAAATAGACTGACTATACATTCAGCTGCCAAAAAGCGAGAAAGAGAGCTCATTAAATTTTGAATGGATAGCGTTAAAGTCAAAATTATTTATGTTTTTAAATAAAAACTTTAGTTTGCCTTTTACAAAAAATACATAGATATATACACACACACACATATATCTATGTATATATGTATTTATATTTGGTTGGTTTCCTAGCTTTTTTCTTTTCTCCTTTTTTCCCTTTTTCTCTCAACCCAGTCCCCTTGACATTTTCACCTTCTCAACATGTTTATCATTTTTGTGGCCAGTTCTGAATATAAGATTTATCAAGTAACTTGAGCTTCTCCTCTCATTGTTCTAACAGCCTGTGGGGAAAACTTTCCCCTCACCTCCTCACCTCTGCTGAGATTTAGGTTTTAAAAATTCCTGGGCATCGCGGTGTTTGGGGACTGGGGTTTGACATGGTTGCATTTTAGATATCTAGAAAAGCATGTCAAGCTGTGACCAGGACTTTGTTGGGGCCAGAATGAATTTACAAGCTAGTGTTTTCTAGGATATTTGTATTGATTTTTCTCTAGCAGCTAATCAATTGGTTTCAGTTGTGTAAGTGATGGAGCAAACCTTTTTAAGTGTGCTGGGTGAGTGGTGTGGAAACAACACCGTTCACTGCTGTCTCTGGAATCAAAATGTAGAGTTGATGGATGAGCTATTTTTATAGCGATTGTGTGTTTTCTAGATCTCATTTGTGTGTTGCTACCTTTTCTCTCCCTCATAAATCTGAAAAACCCTCTCAGGATAAGTGGCATAAACTGGTCATGGAAAGGTAAATAAATTAAGATGAAGTATTCAAAGCAGGGAGAAAATTTCTTGGTGTTTAGTGATTTTAGTATTAATGTTGAAATTTAAAAAAATGAATTCTGTTTGAGACTTGCAAAGATACTGTCCATCATGTGTTAGATTAATTACTCAATGCAACTGGAAAACATTACCTCCTGACCTTTTAGGGAGGAAGGGACATGAGCAGTATTTGATTTTCGGGTGTATGAACTTAGATTGTTGAATTTTACAGTTTATATCAAGCCACATTTGACTCATCACCGTTAGCAGTGATTGCTATATATTGATTCTGATCCGAGATCAGAGAAGAGACCAATAATTGCATCCTGTTAAT